CAATAAGATGCCATCTCCAAAGCAGGACTAAACCGTTAATATCCTTTTTAAAAAAAACAGGGAAACTTACCGTTTAACCCTTGGAAACACTTGGAAAAATCTACTTCGAAGAGTCTTCGAAGTTTCTCGGAAAGTGTGTGAATAAACAGCTGCTAAATGCGCCTCCTATCCCGATAATGTTCCCATATCTCCGCAGGCCCGATGGTTAACAGTGAGAGCTCGAAGATGACGAAGAGTGTGAAGCGATGGAGGTCTGAAGCCACTGGGAGAAAAGATTGTGTTTTGCATCAACAGGTTGGGCAAAAAGCAGAGAAACCTGCATCCCTACTCATAGCTTTCCTGTCTCAGAGTGTGTGTTAGTGTCTTAGTGTCTGTGTGTGTGTGTGTGTGTGTGTGTGTGTGTGTGTCCCTCCCTCAGAATAAAGGTGGGGCTCACACACCTGGAGCTGATGATACACAAAAACACACAGGAGATTTCACCCCTCCCTCTAAATCCATTTCCCATCAGAATTTGCATCCCTGATTTGGATAACCAGAGTGTAGAGTAGGAAATATTAACGTGAAACACTTGATCATAACAGGTGAGATCCTACTGGTTGTTATGGAGTTCAGGTGAGCAGTGTTGGGAGGGATACTTTAAAACTCGGATGGATAGATAGATAGATAAGTAGGTAGGTAGGTAGGTAGGTAGGTAGGTAGATGGATGATGCAGCAGTGTGTTCATACATGAAAATGTTCTATAAAAACCGAAATACTGCAGCTACAGAAATATATACTCATACTACAGTAGCAGAAACACATCACATATTAACATCGTTGTTGTATATAGTTTAGGATAGTATATCAATTAGGCTACAATAGTCACACGTTTAGAAATGTAATCAGTAATCTAAAATAAAAGGAATGTAACCTGATTACTTTACGTTACTTTTGGATTACCTGACGATTAAATGCAATGCAAATAAATACAAGTGAAAATAAATAACAATAAGGTGTTTTTTTACTTAAGTGTATTATGTAAGAAAACTGGATATTTTATTTAAAAATGTGTTGAATTGAAGGCTAGGTCTACAAAATAGTAAAGTTTACAAAGGCTGTTTTGGTTTGGAACATGTATTAAAAGCAAAATATATTATATATGTATAGATTTTTTAACTAAAGAATAAAAAGTAGGCTAAATGAAAACCAAAGAGACTTTTCAGGCAGTACGTCTACCTGTAATATATTTATTTTCGTTTATAATCCTGCAAGTAATCCCGTTTTTAAGACATTTGACAGTAATCTGATGTTTTGAATGTAACTGTAAGGGAATACAGTAACTTATTTTTGTATCTTGTCTACCTAATCCAGTTACATGTAATCCGTAACTCCCCAAACATGCAGGTGAGGGTCCAGATCACTCATCCCAGTCTCCTTTGAGTGCAGAAACAGAAACTGCCGTCACCTTAGTTACTGCAATACCACAGCAACAACATTTGGGATCGGTGATTCCGCCTTGGGGAGGAGTTGCGTCAGGTAGAAGAGATTTCTTTCAACTGCTGTCCTCAACAAGCCCATACTTAAATCCTCCACTCGTGCCCGTACAAGCACAGAGTTAATAGGGTGTGTTCGGTTGAATCTTAAATCATTCTTCAACTGTAGCGTCCCTTTGTCATGTAAAACATAACTGTATCTCTTTTAATCATCAAGATGTAGGAGCAGCATGGATGAGTGTGTAAAGTATATACAAATATCTATGTGGTGAATATTTTTAATTTAGAGTCTCCTCCCTTATGTGTTGCCTAATCCCAGAGGAATTTAAGCATGACGTCATGTATTTGAAGCTTCCCACCCAATAACTGTCATCATGTCGGGTTGAAAGGGAAATAAGTGAAGCGTTGGTGCTCAGATTCTCAGACAGTGATGATAGGGGGTCATAATGTTGTAAGAGAAACCATAGCAATCCCACAGGACAACAGTAGCCAATTAATTCAATGTTAAGTGAGTTTTAAGTACACATTTGGAAGAAAATTGAATTATTGGCATCTTAATCAACTGGTTCAGTGTGAATAAACTTATACTGGGATACTGACAGAAGCTAAAAAGGATGTTGACAGAAGCTATATGGTAGTGTTAAGAAATTAAGACCTTTAAGTCATCCAGGAAAGGTTAACTGAGGTTATAAATCATGAGTGAAAGAGTGTTTTACTCATAGACTTCTCTACAATCTGTATTTCTTTCCCAGACTAGTTGTGTCACCACCTGTTGGCCATTGGAAGTATTGCAGGTTTGATGCATTTCCCTATTAAAGGACATTAGAAGTTGTTTTGACTACTAGGAAATTGACTCTGATTATTGGCGTCTTAATCAACGGGTTCAGAGTGAATACACTTCTACTGGGATACTTCAAAATGAGACTAAAAGTATCTAAATGGATACATGGCAAGTAGGCTAAAGAAAGGATGTTGACAGAAGCTATATGGTAGTGTTAAGAAATTAAGACCATAAAGTCATCCAGGAAATGTTAACTGAGGTTATAAATCAGGAGAAAGTGGGTGTTTCTCAATGTCGAGTATACACTTGCTCGGTAGCACATGTCTTCCGAGTCACTTGCTTCAGAAGCGAGGCAAGAATACTTCCTGGCATTTGGAAAACGAAGAGTGGAACAGGCGAGCAAGTGTGCAGGTGTGCGTCATATGAGAGGTCCCGCCTTAAATTTTCCGCCACAGATTTGGGGAAATTGGTCCGTGCTCAAAGCATTGTGTGGGGATTTGAAGGACGAAGTCTACACATGTGCAGCCTCGAAATTACCCCCAAACCAAGGACGCGGCCTCGGTGGAATTCCAAGTATGCTGGAGATTGGAACAATCCTTCGGCAGCACTCGATGACGTAGTATCCTTGAAATATTGGCTTGGGAGCCAGTTTCCTCGCGATTGAGAAACGGCCCCAGAGTGTCTTTTTCATAGACTTCTCTACAATCTGTATTTCTTTCCCAGACTAGTTGTGTCGCCCCCTGTTGGCCATTGGAGTTATTGCAGGTTTGATGAATTTCCCCATTAAAGGACACTAGACGTACTACTGTACTACTTTAAAACTTCAGAAAGGGCAAACTAAACCAACCAATAGGGAAGTATATTACGAACTAGTTTACTACAATATTAGTGCATTACGAACGTTATGACAGGGTGGCAGTTTCATTAGGTTTCAATTTTCAGTTACAAGCCAAATCTACATGGCTAGTTTTAGTTAAAAGATCATGGATTGGGTTAAAGTACGCCACATAAGATACATCAGTTAAGTCTTTAGTTTGACTCATTCATCATTCCTTCCCGCCAGCGCCTGGCGCTGCTTCCCGCTTTCTCCCACAAACCCTAAGCGTAATTTATCAATCTCTATGTTTCGTCAGCGGACCTCTTCATTGAACTACAGCTGCTAGATATCACTGCCTTATATATGTAAAGGAGAGCCACCATGTGAATATATGATAAAGGCATTGATCATACTCATAGGTGTATAAGGCCTCCTCTAAACCATGTAGGCTATACAACGCTCATATCCACTGCTAACGCCCGTGTTTTGGGTTGATATCATTCAAAAAGGGTGTGTCTACCTACACTGGAAAACTCAAGACATTCCTATCAACTCTCCATTGTGTTAGGAGGAGCTAATATTATGCTAAACTAAAATGGTAAACATGTTAGCATTGTCTCTGTGAGGATGCTAGCATGCTGTTGTTAGCTTTTAGCTCGGTTGTTGCTGTTAGTGTGGGTGGAGACTCTCGTTAAAGTTCAGTAGAAAAGGATTATATCAGTCTATATAGTATACAAATACGATTAATAATGTCTGTGATACGATGGTCCCAGAACTTACTGTATGACAACAATCAGGGGTTTGATCTGTGAGATGGATCTTACACTTGCTATCATTTATTGTTCTATGTGAGATGATAAAGAACTGTTGATATCATTTCTTGTTGTTTTCCTTTTCCAACAGAGAGCCTTGTCGGAGTGGGTTGATGTCAGGAAGCCTTAAAGTGAGCGGTAATTATTATTAGATGTACTCAGACATCATTGTGGTCAGGAGACACAGAAGGAAATGTCATCAATTCGAGTTAGAAGACTGCCGGGAATGAGAGTCACTTTGTTTCTGATCCAAGGCCCTTGTTAGTCATTTGTAGTCATGATAGTTGGATATTTTTAAAACCTTCCATCATTGTGAGGAGTTCCAGAAATAAAAGACACAGACAACAAGATTAATTAAAATATCCTAATTTTACTGCGGCTATCGGGACCGTTCACAGTACATTATGTGTGGTGTTGTGCTTGGAGCACAAAACAAACAGTACATGCTTTTGTTTGCTCTAAGGAGAGGGACATGAGTTCAGATAGCAGCAAGGAGATAGACTTGGGATAAAAGGGAGTTAATCCTCCATGATCAAGTGAAAAACCCTTAGTAGTTTTCACCGTTACAGCAATATTGCACGCTCTCCTTGCATCCCCTGGTGTTCACAGTAACCTTGTGTTCACAAGGAGTACAAAATACGACGCAAAATAAAAGCAGGAGGAAGTACAAAAGGTAGGATGGAAGTACAAGGTCAAAATGCTGAGAACAAAATATTTACATTTTTATAGACAGCTAGAAGCAAATACACTCTAGTAATGATAGTGTTTTGCTTGTGTCCATTGCTGTGGGTCAGGAGTATCGAAGGGAGAGAGGTGGAAAGGAAAGGAAAGGAAAGGAAAGGACTATCAAAGATGGATGAGGGGAATAACGGAGGTGGAGGTGGTTTTTCTCGTCTTCTCATTTCAAGTATATATATATATAATATAAACAGTAATTATGTAATAATAGAAAAATAACTCCATATTTATGCTTTTCTATCCACTTAGTGGAGCGAAGCATGAGGTAGTTAGACGAGAGGGCATTAGGGGGTTTCTCGACAGCCTTATCGCGGCGTGCCGAGCCGGGAGGAGGGGATTAGACGGAGGAAAGGTGCAGGAAGGAGAGGAAGGCAGCAGGTTTAGATGATGCCGTATTTGGCCAAGTCGCTGAGCTCCATGTCGCCGAAGGCTTCCCAGGGGCAAACCACCGTGATGTCTGTGCCGAGACCCTCCATGCCGGGGATATCATCGCCAAATCTGGAGGACAGAACACAAGCAGGAAGGTGATTTAAAGGTCTCCTATTATACTGTTTTTCATCAATATATCACAGGTCTCAGATATATACAGAGCCTGTCTCTGATTGGCTGAAACACCAAACAGATCATTGCAGCATTACCCATAATCCCCTCTGTTTCAGCTCTGTTTCCAAAGTGCTGATTCTCTGTCTGTTACTTTAGATGAAAATAAGGAGCCCCTCCCCACGCCCCTCTGAGAGACATTTGGTTACAAAGAACTCAATGGTGCTCTAGGAGGAGATTCAGGTGATAAGGGCGAAGAGGAGAGTCGAGTTCTGTTGCGTGTTAATGTTGATCTCGTTTATTAGGTTGTTATTCGTGAGCGGCGGTCCCACGCATGCGTCTCACTCCCTCCCACTCCGAGTCGTCGCGTCGGTGAAGTCACAGTTCATCTATTTATCGTCTATTTGTGTGTTTCATTTGACGTGCATTTGGGTTTCGTCTTCTTCTTCTTTACTGGTCGCCGAAGTAAACGGAGTTGTAGGAGCGGCAGCTCGCGGCAATAGGCCACTCTTGCGCTAGATGATCTAACAAGCTCCCGATTTTCTAAAGCCCCCCTGTTC